TTTTTAAATTTGTTGTTCTAGTTATAGTGCTTATCTCGAAAAAAAAACAACAAAAAATTTTCAACTAACTAGTCAATAGACATTTAGAAAATACTTTTAGATTTAAATTAAATAATCATAACATTAATATGGCTTCGAATAAAGTAAATATCTATTAATACATATTGAATATTCTATTCTTCTTTTTGTTTATAGGAAGCATTAGCTCTTGTGGTAGATATTGGTGTGGGTATGTCTCAAACAGCACCTGGATTCGATTCCCCTTTACAAATAACAAGTGATATTCTTCAAATGATTGTTCAAAGAAAAGTAAAGAAATCAGCTATGAATTAGTTATTACCTTTTTCTATTATTAAAAATAGATGTTTCAACAGAGTAAAGATGAATTAGCATTGATATTATATGGCGGTGATGAAACAAATAATGATTTAGCTGATGAAAATAATTATCAAAATATTAGTGTCGTCTTTTCGTTATCACCTGCAAATTGGCATTTATTTGAAGAAATACAAAAAATAAAACCAGGCAATAATCCAGCTGATTGTAAGTCGATAAAAAGTTTTCGAATAAATATCTATTCAATCGCTAATCTTTGTAGTGATTGATGCAATTGTTGTTGCTGCTGATCATCTTCGTCGTGAGACAGAGTAAGAAAAAAATTCAAATATCTTATTCATAAATTAATTATTTCATTATAGAGGAAAACGTGGTTATGTTGCTAAACGTGTTTTATTATTTACAAATGCTGCCACACCATTTAATGATCATAGTCTTAAAGTTATTCTTGATTCACTTCGACTTCAAGATATTACTGTTGATGCTATTGGACCTTCATGGGGTCAAGAAGAAGAAGATGGAGATGAAAATGATCGACCAGATTCACCTACGCAAACAAATGGACATAATGAAGATTCAGCAAGTGCACGTCCAACAACAAATGGTCATCATCATCATAGAAATCAAAAAAAACCATTAACACCTCAACAAAAGACTGGTATTCGTATTATTAATGATATTGTTAATACAACAGAAGGAAGTTTATTTACATTTCGGTATATAATTTCAAATATTTACTTTTAATAAATATAAATATATACTATATTTTAGCGAAGCATTAGGTATGCTTAGTATTCATCAATCAAAAACTGTTAAACCAACAGCAACAAAATATATTATGCAATTAGCGGATATTAAATTACATATTTGTACATATATACAAGTTAGAAAGAAGAAATTTTGTATTTGAATATGTTAATCCCTTTCTTTTCAAATAGGTGAAAGATAATAAACCAGGAATATTTCGTTTAAAAAAAGTTTATGCACGTGATCCAAAATCAGAAATTAAAGTTGATCGTGGTCGTTATACAAAAGATGAACATGATGAAGAAATTGAAAAAGAAGAATTAACAGATGGTTTTCGTTATGGTACAACATTTGTACCAATTAATAAAGAAACATTAGATGATATGAAATATCAAAGTGAAAAATGTTTTTCAGTTATTGGATTTTCCGATGCTAATATGGTTAGTTTATACACTAATTTCGCTTTTAAAACTGATGTGTTTCTTTTTTATTTAATTTAGATGCGACGTAGTCTTTATTTAGGTGATACAGTTTATGAAGTAATTGCCGAGCCAACTTATGAAGAAGAAGCTCAAACATTTACTGGTCTTGTTCAAGCGATGTATGATACAAATACAGTTGCTATTGTACGTAAATGTTTTAGTGAAAGAAGTTCACCAGAACTTGGATTTTTACGTCCACATATTGCTCATGATCATATTGTAAGTAGAAAATTCAATTTATAAAACAAAAAGAAATCATATATAATTTTTAGTGTATGTATTATGTTAAATTACCATTTGCTGAAGATTTACGTGAATTTAATTTCGATAATCTTGATGTTATCAAACGTAATCTACCAAGTGCTGAACAATTGAAAACAGTTGATAATTTAATAACAACTATGGATTTATCACATGCTGATCGAGGGTTAGAATAATTTAGTATTGAAAACAAACAATATATTTGAATCGTTTTTTTTATTATTAGACGTGAAGAAGCATTTCAACCAGAACTTATATCTGATCCATATATTCAGCGAATGTTTCAAGTAGATATACATACACATATTATTTTGATTTTCAATGAAAAATTTCTTTTAGTCTATAGCTCAACGTGCTGTAACACCTGATGAACCATTATCATTATCAAATACAATTATGGAAATGAATGATACATTAATTCAATCAATAGCTCGAAAGAGTAAACGAACATTAGATACAGTTAATGAACAATTTATTCTTCGAGATACTAATCGTCGACAGAAAATAGCAACTGGTGAAGCACTTTTTGGCAATAATGATATGTATGAATAAATACAAAATTCAATTGAAAAATATGATTATTTGTTTTTATATTTTTAGTTCTGCTAAGAAAGCTCGATTAGAAGATAATAATGAAGAATTTACAACTGATTCAACATCGTTTGAAGCTCAAGCAGCTGCAAAAAAGAAAGCAGCAATAAAAACTGTTGGTACAGTAACACCCGTTGAAGATTTTAAGATTTTAATTGAACAAGGTTCACCATCATTGACTGATGTATGTAAACAAATGTGTACACTTATATTTGATCTCATTAATAATTCACATGGAGATTCATTGTTTGAAAAAGCATTACAATGTATTCAATGTCTACGTGAAATATGTATTGATAAATTAGAACCTAAAATTTTCAATGATTTCGAAGTTGTACTCAAAGCTCATTCATCAGATATTGATGGAAGAAAAGATTTTTGGAAGAAAATAGTCGATGGTATGTAGAGTTTTAATAATCTGTAGAATATATATATAAATATCTTCAGAAAGTAGTCAATTAGTTCTACATAGTTTTTCAAAACGGAATAAATTTCAACTACGCACATGAGAATATGCCTGAAAAGAAAAATTCAAATTCTCACGTATACATTATTTAATTTTTAGAAAAAATTAGTTTAATAACCAGTGAAGAATGTATTGAATCAAATGTAATACCTATTGAAGCAAAGAAATTTCTTGAAGAAGAAACAGCAATTCAAGCACTTAATAATGCACCAATAAATAATGAACAAGATGATGAAGAAGAAGATCTTGTAAGTCAAATTTATTTGTTTATTTTATTTTTCGACATTTTCTTTTTCTTTTATTTTAGTTTGATCTTATCTAAGCATACGGTGATACACAATAGAATCTTACGACATATATTTTTTTAGCTAAAATTTTTGTTTTTTAAATACGTGATGTTTTGTATATAAATTATTGTAATAATCGTATATATTTTTATAGTTCTATTTAATTAACATAAATATATAAAATGATATGATTTGAGCGTGTGACACAATAATTTATAATAAAAAATCTTTTGAAATTGTCCACATAAAGTTCATTGTAATTATGCATATACAGAAAAAGTTGTTTTCCTATTGTCTGTTTATCGTCTTTTCTCATGCAATTTTAAATCTTAATATTTTTCTAATTATGATTTAACACGTTCAAAATAAATTATAAGACGTGATAAAAATAATAGCTTTTCTAAGTATAAAAGAGATGAAATTTTGAACACCTTATTATAAAATAATGTCGTTTCTTCTTATATTTTTTATTCTACCTTATCTTTGTGCAAGTTCTTATCCATATGGATTAATTCGTAATGCTTCTATTAAAATTTCATTTGATATGAATGATGATCGTGGTCATATATTAAAAAGTCAAGATTGTAATCAATGTCTTTGTAGTGCATTTAGTAATCCAAAAGTTGTTTTATTTACATGCACTCAAAATGAATCGATAAATGTTACTTGTCAATTTTATTATTTTATGCCAATACGGGATGAAATTCAATATCCAAATGTTTATACAAATATATATTTAATAGATACTAATCAAACATTTGAAGAAAAAGATGATTGTTGCAACACAACTGAACTTATCATTAAAATCAACGAGGCATTACGTACTAAAGACACTGCTACAACTGAATCGTTACGTACACTCGCTAATAGTGATAATAATACAATAATCACAGTTGAAGAAAAAACTGGAAACTTGCTTAAATTTGATAAATCAACATTTAAATCTGTGGATATACCAAAAATTTCAGGACTTAAAGCTGCTGGCTATTATGATGAATATTATTATCTTGGTACAGATAAAAATATATATGTTTACAATAAAAATCTAAGTAAACTATATCAAATTCCAAATATAAAGGGTCCTATAAACGCGATTCGTTTTATTGATAAAACACAAGAAATGATTGTGGGTACAGCTTTTAATGATATCAATATATGTAGAAAAGATGAAGTTAAAGGCTATCTTATAAACTGTACATTAATTCCGGACATTCATAGTGGCAAACAATTACATGCTGTTGGCATTGTTAATGAAAATGCATTTTATGTTGGTTGGGACGGCGACGGAGGGCACATTCATTTATATACGAGAAATCCGAGTAATAATATATGGACAACAAATGATAATGATATAATTGGTCATAAGTACAAAACATCAGATATTATTGTCGATAATTGTAAACGAATATGGGCAGTTGTCGCGGGAGATGATAAAGGTAAAGTAATTATTTATAATCAAGATAAAACATTTTTGGGTGAAATTAATGTGGGTGGTACAACTTTATTTAATCTTATGATTGCTGAAAACTATAAACTTATCATGTCACATGGATCTACAGATGGTTTAACTCACACGAATTCATCTTTAAATTGTCGACCACTTCGTTGAAATGACATTGAATTTATTATATTATATTAAAATTATATAAATTATATAAGAAATTAAAATAAATTGATTAAAACGTAAATTATTTTCATTTAAATCTCCGAAGTATTCTTTTTTTTTCATTTGTAATCTCTTGCATCTTGAATAGCAATAAGTTCGAGATTTACCCTACCGGCTTTCTGGCATCTTGCACTAGGATATTTGTAGAAGCATCCTGCTTCGAGTATATTGCTGAACCGTTAGAGCGAATGTGAAATTCAATAATAAAAATATTCTTAAGGTCATAATGTTGATTAATTTTTTCTGAAATGCGATCTGAACTTTGATAAGATACGTTTCGTCAGTGTAATCTAAATGTCGTTTAAATGCAATTTTTGTTAATATAAAAATCTAGATCCAAATATCATTCTAGTAAGCAATGAATTCATACAACAAAAACAACGATCTAATGATCTTGAAGACGAACTTCAATTAATACAAAAATATTCAAAATCTACACAAACAAGAGCAGCTGAACAAGTAGACAATAATCAAACTTTTTCTTTACTATTGAACTATTTTTAGTCACAAGAAATTGCAAGTTTAAAATCTACAAAAGATGGCTACGATGCTCAATTAGCTATTTTTACTAATGAACTTCTTCAAACACAAGTTTGTAATTTAATTCTCATTTTTCTAATATAAAATCTTACATTTTTGTAGGATGAATTAAAAGAAAAAGAACAACAAATAACTACTTTACGCAATGATCTCATTCCAAGGTAAATTTATTTAGCTTAAAAAGAATTATACTATCAATTGATTTCTTCATTAAATAAATATTTTATTTTTTTTTTATTTTAACTTCATCTAGTTTGTAAGTAGTATCTTAGTAGATATATACTCACTTGCATGTTAGCTTCTTAGATATATTCGAATATTTTCGTTCATTTTGTTTTTATTCATTCTTAGATCGACTACTGATGATGTTGATGTACTTAAACGAGAATTAATTACTGTACAACAATATATGAATGAAATGTCATTAGAAAAAGAACAACTAATTGATAAATTACGAAATATTCTCATGGAAAAGTTTGTAAAATAGTTTAAATTCAAACATAAATTTATAATTATTTTCATAGTTATCATTCTGTACTTAAATTAGAACGAGTAGAAACGATATTTAATCAAGTAAATTAATTTTTTCGTTTATTATTATAAATATAATTTCATATAGAATTTATTAATTCATGATGAAGTAATTAATGAATATACTTCACAAATTGGACATGAAATTAATGCAATAAAACAATTTGTTCGAGTAACTCATAAACGACAAGAAAATGTCAAGAATACTGTTAAATATATGCGCAATCGTCTTCTAGAGGTATCGCTTTCTGCGGTTCATAAAACTAAACAATAGTTTTAGGAATGAAATCTATCTAACTTAATTCTTTGTCTGTATTTAAAGAATCAAACTGAAATGAAACAACTTAGACAAACAAATATTCAATTACAAAACGATGTACAAATTGAACAAAGACAAATAAATTCTTATCGAAATCAAATTGAAACATTAAATAATGAAATTCATCTATTAAAAAAAAATCAAGTTATTCAAACGAAAATTGGCGATGATCAAGATAATGATAGACAAAATTTTATTCGACAAATCATACAAGAAAAAGTAAAAAAAAGAAAAATGCTTTTTTTAACTTTAATTCAATTTTATTAAGGATCAATATGAACAACAAATAAAAGAATGTCGAATACAAATTAAAGAAATAAATAATCAACGACAACAAATTCAAGATGAATGTGATCAGATGTCTAAACAAATTTTACAAATAACGAATGAGAAAGTAATAGGAAAATATTTTAAAGCTCAATTGTTTTATTTTACTGAATAGAGCCAATTACAGAATGAACAAATACGAGTTATTAATGAAATGGATTTACACAAGAAACAATTTGATGAGAACCATAAAGATAAAGTATGATAAAAATAATATCTACACTTACCCTTAACTCCATATACAACTTTTCTTAATGTTTAGGAACAAAAAATAAATGAATTAAAATATCAAATATCCACCTTACGTGAACAGCATATTAGTACAGAAAATAGTCTTCGAATAGCCAAGACATTTAATAATAATCAGATATATTAATTAATTGTTATATCTACATTTTGTATATATTTCAAATTTCAAAATCAAGAAATAGACAGTTTAAAAACTGATTCAATAAATCAAGTAAAACGATTTGAAAAAGAAAGAAATAATTTAAAACAGACAATAAATCAACAAGAACAATTACAGAATGTAATTAAAGTACAATTAAATACTATTGAAAAAGAAAAATACGATATTAAACAACAAATAATTGGAGAATTATATTTCTATTCGATGCGAAAAAAAGTCATTAACATCTTATAAAAAGCCATGCTTAAACAGCGAATTTCCCTTTATATTGTTCGTCGAATGACTATGACTGATTTTTTGAACATGAACATATATGGTACCGTCATGTATGTCAAACAAGCTGATAAAAAAAGAATGACAACGAAATAAACAATGTTATTGGTCAATTCTGACCTTTCTTTAGTTCAATTTCATTTCGTCTTTTTTTTGAGCTTATTCAAGGTCATTCGTTTATCTATCGTAATAGGCATGTATGTAAACAGAGAAGATTCAATAAAATAACGATGAGTAAAAGTACGTTGGAATTATTACCAAATGAACTTCTGCTTATTATATTCTCTTATTTATCTTCATTTGATCTTTGTCAAGCTTTTCTTTATTTAAACAATGCTCGTATTCAATATCTTCTTTAGAAGTTGAACAAGGTATGTTATTAAAAATAGTATCGAAGTTAACAGCTTAAATAATCAAGAGTATTATTCTCTTTCTCATAGAGAAGAGTCCAGTAATAAGAATAAATTATTTGCTTGCTTGCTTGTCTATCCGCAGGGTCAAAAAAACATTGAAATTTAATTTTTCAGATACTTCCGGAAAACTTTGACTGGGGGGTAATCGAGAGCGGGGAACTTGAATCTGAGGTTATTTTAGTAAAACTAACTGGTTAATAATTAGTTAATAATTGATATTATTAATTTTTGAAAAAAGTTTGACCGAAGGTAATCGAGTGCCAAGAACTCGAATGTGAGGTTGATTTTAGTTAAAAATCAACTAATAATTAATTAGTATTATTAATCTTAAAGATAGTTCTAAGAAAGTTTTACCAGAGGGTACTTTGAGAATCGATTTTTTAGAAAAGACATTTTTGGGGCATTTTGATGCGGAGACTTCGAATCTGATGTTAATTTTTCCAAACTGTATAAGCAAAAAGTTTAGTATTGTAGAATACGATTTCTTCGAGAAAGAGCTGAGCGTGCCCGCATCCGCAGACGAGCGTTACTTGTTATAGATAGAGTCACCGTGTAGGATAAAATTGTCACATTGCGAGATCTTGAAAAGAATACCAACCATGTCCGCATCTTTTGCCGTACTATAAGCAAGTTCAAGAGCGATGTCTTGTTCCGTACTAGTGGATAAAATGTTATTGAAGGACATCAAACCACCTGTTGCTTTTTGGTGCTTTTCCAAAGTTGCTTTGGATAGACCTTGTCCGCGGTAAAACTATGAATGGTTTGTCATGATAACTATTACCTTGTTGTGGGTGTAGTTTTGTTCTGATTTAGAATGGTGTGAGCTATTCAAACAAACAAATCTATACCTCATATACTCGAGCATGATCAATATCAACAATATTAGAGAAGTAGGATTTTTTCAAATATTAAATGAGATTTTTTTAAGATATTTTTAAAAATGAAATAATTCTTATATTTTGATATGAATCTATTTACTTTTTCTTTTTGAAAATAGAAAAATTGATCTTCATTTTCATCATCGTGTTCAGCATTATTATTGCCATAATTCTATAAAACATTAATATCATAAGATAACTACGTTATGATAAATGGTAAGTACATAAGTTTAACAGAAATAATTTGTAACAAAATCAAAGTTCTTATTGACTCGAGAACTATCTGATTAATTTATAATAATTCATTAACCGAATTAATTTGCAATTATAATCTATTATATTATTAGAACAAGAAACTGTGAGTAAAGTGAACGAGATCAATTTTGTTTTTATCTTTCTCTTAGTTAAAAGAGCATGTATCAAAAACTCAGTGTAAACATGAGCTAACAATTTGTTCTTTCAATAGATCAATAATCATCGTTGTAATTGTTGAATAATGTAAAAATAAGACTATGACACTTTTAAAGGCATATTTACATCTATACGAATACTAATATTCAAAGACATAGGTTTTTGTCTACCACTAGATGCAATGGTTTATATAAACATGAAATTTTTACCTAAAACATTTGTTTATCCGCAGGCTTTAATGCTGTTTGATGTTTGTTATTGGCTCTTGTTTTTCTATATAATTGTTTTGTATCGTTCAATAGTTGTGCTGCTACATCACCCTTAGCTTCTTCAGCACCAAAACGTTCAGTACGTGAACGAAAATACTCCATACTATCTTTGTGAAAGGCATCATTCGTATTATCATATCAACTCATCATCTCATCCATCTCATTATCCCAACATCTCATCTTATCGTCTCATCATCTCATCGTCCTTCTCAATAAATTTTATTAAAATGGGAAATACTCAGCGATCACCATCATCTTCATCATCATCCAATGACACATCCCGTCCATCATCATCAGTCCTCATTGTTCCATCTCAACTGTCACCAGTCCTCATTATCCCATCTCCACTCTCACCAATTCTCGTCTTACCAACTCCACGTCAAAAATCAAACGAATCATCTCGTCCTCGTCGTACTATGAAACCATGATCGGTCCCCATTATTCCATCTCCACGTAAAAAATTAAACAAATCATGTCGTTCTCGCCTTACAATGAAACCATCATCTCTCCTCATTATCGCATTTCCACCGTCACCAGTCCTCGTCGAACCAACTGCATCTCAAGAATCAAATCCATCATCTCGTCCCCGTCGTACAATTAAACCAGTACGACGCTTAAACTACATCCGTCGACCAAAAAAAGTTGTTAATCATACAGCAGCAGCAACTACAATAACAAAAAAAAATGAACCAGTATGTAAACATACAGATGAGCAAGTTATAGAACTCTTATCTAAATTCCTCAGCTATCGGGCTGAGGTTAATAATCTCATAAATGCTGCTCCAAGTGAAAGCACCATTGAAGTCATACCGTGATTTGAGTATAAACCATCAGTAGTAAATAAAGAAGGAAAGGGGAGAAAACGAGCGCACAGTATGATCTAGTTCGTTTTTCTTTCCCACTTATTCTTATTCCAGCAAACTTTTGTTCTTATTTGTTTTTCCTAATCTTCCTAATTGTGTTCATTCTTAATTGTTTTCTTCTTATTTGTATTTGCTTCGTTATTCTTTCAAATAAACTTCCTTTGCCACATCTAACTCTGTTGCATATGCGATTTCTCTTGAATGTCGAGATCCGAGAATTATTCAATTTAATTATTACTAAAATATTTACGAACACATTCTAAAACTAATACTATGATAATGTGAATAAATGAGGTTACTAATAATGATCACTGACAAATACGACAACCTAAATTAAAACTCCATTTTGAACAGCATTCACTTTAAAAACTTAAAGTATTAGTTATTTGACGAACAAGTGATTAATGAATACAATCTTTTTTTTACATGACTCAAATTATAACATAGAAGTCGATGAAGTACGTTACTGGTCTCACACGTTTTCATTATTCATTTAAATTTAACACACAAATTGAAAATCGATAAATCTGACGTACCTCCAACAAAAATTATTCTTATTTAAAATCATCCAATACCAATACTTTAATGAACTAAATCTGAGATATTGTTTGATTGTATTTTTTTAAGCACGTCTTGGATTATCCTTGAAATAGCATGATAACAACAAGTGTTTCAAATTTTTGTTTCTTGAATATCGTTTTCGAATCGTATATAAATACACAAATTAATTACTTCTATACTTAAAGATTTAATAATGGCTATTTTACTAAGCTATATTTTATATAATCAAACCGTTCAAGCCGACGCTGATGATCCTGATAGCGTTCAATATGGATGCAGACATTATATTCAAGAGCCCTGCTTTAATCATCGGGACCTATTTCATCCATTCATCTGTTCCGTATGTAATTATCAACCAGACTCATTACGTTTCGGGTTTGCTAAACAGACAAAAAACCAATATGTCAAATATTTTCTTTTTTTAAAGATCCTAATTAAATAATATTTTCAATGTCTCACATATCATAAATAACACAATCAACCAGCGTGTTTCTCTCCATTTCTTCTAATAAAACTGCCTCACATTTTTCATCTTATTCAGTCCTCATCTATATCAGAAACAATCAAATGTAACCGTGAAGTTTCTTCATCGAACTAATATAAAAAAACAATCACAGTCGCCAGGGGTGGCGCGATCGGGGGGGCGTCGGGGGTGTAACACCCCCCCAATCTTTGAAAATTTCTATTTTTTGCTCAACAAAATCGGCAAATTTTCTTAAGTTTTTGAACAGAGATTATGCTACACCCCCTAAAAACTCAAAAAAATTTCGCTACATCCCCCAAAAATTTCAAAAAATTTTCATTACACCCCCCCAATGTTGACTGACTCGCGCCACCCCTGACAGTCGCCTATATTCATCACCTCTGCACTATTAAAAAATAAATAAAAAACTCCACTACACTTCAAAACCTATTAAATAAATAAATTCCTACTTAACTACTCACAACAAAAGTAAGTAAATCCGGTACAATAATTTTATGTCCATACTAATGTCAATAGCAACTCCAAAAAAGGCTCAACACCCATCTACAAACGAATTCCCACAAGGCACTGACAACTACAACGCAAAAGAAAACGATTTCTAAAATCACATTTTCCAAATACTACTACACAAAGTCACCGACATCTGTTTCACAATTTTTTCACCACTAATAAATCATAGCATTTATCTGAGCAAATCTTCTATTACAGTATATAAAAGTACAGCTATAGATAAAAGATACAATCGATTACAAATAAAAGAAAAGGATTTAACAAATGTAAAACTTGAAAACGAAACCGAGCACATAGAAAACTGTATCAAGATTATCTCTTCGACGATAAGACATAGAATTTATCTCAGCTCATATTTTATGTCGATGAGAATAAGCGCAACCTTTAGAACAACACACAATCAAACAGAAATAAAAGAGAAGGATTTGGTAAATATAAAACTGAAAGAAAAAAACCGAGTAGATAGAAAATACTTTTAACTATTACGTTTTATTTGATTTTCAGAATGAAG